TCTCATGCTCCCGGTTCGAGCTCGTGGGGAGCGTGCGGTGCTCCACGTGCGGTTTGCTCTGATGATGCTCTTTGACTTCAGGCCCCACAGCGGTGCTGGGATGGTCCCGGTATTTGCTGCCAACCCCTTGATGGCTCTTCCATGGTGAAAATACGGATCTTGGCAAATGGGAGAGGTGACTGGGCATCAGCGGAGGAGCCTTGGAGCGATGGTTGGAGCGTGAGTGTTGGAGGGATGCTCCAATGGCTGGAGCTGACCTGCCTCTGCAGAATCAGGGGGTCTGGAGGACACCTCTGGGGACAGGACTGGGATGTTCCTGCCTGTGGCTGAGTGTCTGGGCAGACAGAGTCCCCTGTGCCCAGATAGCTGCTGTGGTGTCCCAGAAAAGCATGTAAGAATGAGGCAGGAGGTGGATTTTGGATGGAGTTGGGCATTGGTGAAGCTCTCACAGGTTTCAGAATGTTTTCCAGGAGAACACGCCCGGTTTGTACATAGTTTGGGCTTTTTTGCTGGATCTCTTCAGCTCCCAGAGCCGCTGGCCGGATCCCGTCCCTTCTCCGAGGCAGTTCCCAGCTGGTGGGAGCTGCGGTGGTCCTGCTGGAAGGACCCCGATGCTGTGTGGGTCTGGAAGAGCTGTGCCAGCGTGGCCGTCAGCTGCCCGGGCACCCGGAGAACACACAGCCCCTGCATCCCAGAAAATGCCGTCTGCATCCTGGCGATCCGGGCATCGGCAGCCTTCACTGCCAGAAGTAGCTGTCCTTGTAAGATCCGGTTATTTTTGGATTTCTTTGAAGAAAACAGCGTTCAGCATATGTTATCTTGTATGTATGTCAGCGTTAATGCTTTAGAGCATCTTCTCCAAGGAGGGGTCTGCTGTTAGATGTTTTTCTGTTTTCTACAAAGCCTGAAAGAAGGTGAGGTGCGCTGTCTTCCCTGGACATGGGGAGAGGTGATGCTGCCCCAAAGATCTTGGTGGTGCAAGGAGTGCCTGGGCTTGGGGAGAGAGAGGTGGTTGGAAAGCTTGCCAACCCTTTCTTTTAAAAAAAATGTATTTTCAAGCAATTTAACAGTCATGTTCTCTGTAAGGGCTGCTAGCATGTTTGTAGAAGTGCCGGATGCCTTATCTGCAGGACTCTGTGTTGCTCTGAAGGCGTTGGCTCGTCCATGCTGAGCCGGGACCCAGCCTGCTGCCCGTGCATGCCCACGGGGAGCAGAGGT